AGAGAGAGAGAGAGAGAAAGAAAGAGCAAAAGTTTACAATGGCAAATCTGCGAAGAAGAAAGAGAGAACCCGAAGAAGGGTCGCGCCTGTTGATTAGCGAATATCTTAATTACTGATTGGCTGCGCGGACTAATTAAATCGTAACTCAATCAGAAGTCCGACCTGCCTCCTGCGCCATGGCCATGATTTTACGAGCGTGTATGCGCAATTTGGGTACCCCCCACATACATAGGTCGCTGATGGCGTACAGATGATTTTAAAGCTTTGAATAACGCACTCAAACTACTCCCTACCCTATCCCTTTTACATATTCCCTTCACCGATCTTTCTCGCGCCGCAGTGTCTCTTTTTTACTCCACCTCCTTTCTTTGCACGCCTTTCTTTTTTCCATCGACAACTTCCTCGCTCCGAGGCTGCTTCGACGGCATTATATCCGTATGGAATAAAAAGTATAAGTAATTAGTAGTACCTACCGCCGCGACTCCTGCCCATTGAGCAATGTCCTCCGGATCCTCCCACTTTTCATCCGTATAAAACCATTCGGGATATGAATTTTCAATAGCAGATCGCGCAGATGCGTTTTTGAACTGATATACGAGGATATACTCGTTTATTTACATATACGTGATGCGGGCCCGTGAATTTTGTAACGCAAGACTCAAGATGCCCGTATACTTGTCTCGCGCTTAACAGTAAATTTAATAAAAATGAATTCTCATGTTATATTTGCATTTGAATTGGACTATCTTTATTAGAGAAATAAGTTTTGTTATCAGATGGCCATGATCAATACTGAATATGCGGGTGAGGAATTTTAAATATGAACAAGTCGTGTTTCATCTTTCCGTGATGCTCGAATAAGATAGCAATTAACTTGTAAGTGGTAGCTATAATTATGGTAGATTCCAAGAGTTACATTGGATCTGACGCACCTGCGGTGTATTATATTTTATACTTATTTTATACTAAAAAAAATACGACTGAATATAACTTACAAATATCAAAATTTTTCTATAAATTACACTGGAAGTAATACAATGGATAAATTCTGTAAGAAAAATATGTTTTACATAAAATGCTTGAAACCTCCAATAATTTATCACCATTTTATACTTTATTTCCTCCGTTTATGGAATATAAGAAAGTTAAATAAATTTTGAGATCTATAACATACGCAACTAAAAAATAAAATTGTATAATTATACAATATAACAAGATGTCTTTTTGTGATCAAGAATATTTCTATATTATTATTTTTCTGCTAAATTTATTTTTTAAAATATTTTCTTCATAATCTTCATATTCATCTTCATAGTCATCTTTATATTCAAAAATTCTAAAAGTTTATAAATGTCATTAAATTATAAATGTAGTAGAAGAATTATTTTGGATTTCATGACAAATTTCATGACAAATTATTGACGACAATGCGATGATTACCAAGTCGACAAAGTCATAAATATTGTGAATATTTTCATTTTTAAAACGAGGAAATTTTTTTCAGATCAGCAACAAAATTGATGAGTAACCTTCAGTAATAAAAATTATAGGAATCACTAACTAAACATTCAACGATTTTTTCAAAATTAATATACGCATTCTGCCAGATACTTTTTATGCATCAATCATTTATAATCATGTCTAAACGATTGCGTAAACCGATTAACCCAATTCAATATTTTTACTACCGATCAAGGCTAAAAAAGCGAATAATTGATCAATTTCTAAAACTATAGAAAGTTACATCACACAGCGGGTAGTCTTTAATTTAAAGATATTATCAGTATAAGATATCAGTATAAGATATTATCAGACATATAACATCTAGAAACAATATTATGCGAAAGAACGATTGCTATTAAAATAAATATTTTATTCTTTTGCCTCATGCGCTTATCATTAACATTTAACTACATATATAAACTAAATTTAATCCATATATAATGTTAAACTAAATTTAATAAAGTATATTTTGTACGCACAAATAATATATGTACATGTACGATGAAAGATATTTCAATTTTATCTTAATATTTTAAGTAAACTTTAATTAAATATTTGGACAAAGCTTATATAAAGAACTTACACTATAACTAAAAAATGTCCATGAAAAGAAATTGTCAATAATTTATAAACAAATTTATTGTGAAACTAACAATGAGTGTGATTTACATATGATTAATATAATAATCAATCTATTAAATAAATTTTTTATCATAATATATGGTTTAGCATAAAACAAGATAATTTCACAGAAAAATATTATATAAAATGAAAAAAAATAAAAGAAATGAAGGAACAAAAGAATCAATGGTAAAAGTATAATAAACGCGAAAACAAATTTTTTATTAAAAATTGTAAATACAAATCTAGATCTTATGTATATCGGAGATATACTTTGTTTCTGATCTTAGCACAAC